AAAGTTAATCAACTTTATATGGAGAAACATCATCTGCCGATTCGGCCTACCCAAGGAAATCAACTGTGACAACAGACCCCAGTTCACAGGAAAGAAAACTGCTGAATTCTTCAAGAAATGGCGTATCAAGGGTATACTCTCAACCCCATATCACCCAATAGGTAACGGTGCAAGCAGAATCCTCCAATATGTCCATACTAAACATTATGAAGAAAATGTTCGAAGACGCCAATGGACTGTGACCGAAAATTCTACCAAAAGTATTATGGTCCTACCGAACAACTCTAAAGATGAGCACGGGAGAGACGTCCAACTCTTTGGTCTATGGGACCGAGGCAGTAATACTGGTCGAGGTTGAATAACCCAGCTTAAGGTACTCCCACGAAAGCGGCACGAGTAACGATTAGAGCAAAAGGTAGGAACTCGACGAAATCAACGAACGAAGAGATATGGAAATGGTCGCCCAAAAGAAAGCAAAACACTATTATAACAAGAAAGCAAATGTCCGGCCGCTTAAAGTCGGGGACTACATACTGAAAGCCAAAACTCAAATGAGCAAAGACCCCGGGAAGGCAACCTGAGAACAAACTGGGATGGTCCGTACAAAATCACAGCCAAAGCGAACAAAGGTTCATTCCAACTAGGGACAATGGAAGGAAAGCAACTACCAAACAACTAGAATGTCAGCCACCTCAAATACTTCAACTTCTGAGAGAAAAAAAGTCCCATAAGTCGCACTTTTTTTCCTTTACTTGAGTTTTCTCCCATTTGGATTTTCTCAAGGAGGTTTTTAACGAGGCGGCGAAGGGAACACTTTGGGTCGAAGTACACGAGGGTAGGACCATTGTTACTATTTCATTGCTCGACTTCTCTATACTCTCCAAGTCAAACAATGAAGGGACTAGGTAGACTGGAACTGGGACTGAAATACCAGCCAACACCCAAAATTTATAATTTTCTCCAAGTATGTAACAAAAGCAACAATGTCAAAGCAATAAAAAACTTACGTTTATCATAACACCTTTTTCGTATTAAGGTTATATTTTACCCCGCTTGAACAAACACCTCTCGGACCTCGGCCACGATTTAACGAAAGGTTATATTCGACTAAGCAAGAACAAATACCTACCGGCCCTCGGTCGCGATTTAACGAAAGGTTATGTTCGACCCTGCCCGAACAAACACCTACCGGCCCTCGGCCACGATTTAACGAAAGGTTATGTTTGACTAAGCGCGAACAAACACCTACCAACCCTCGACCGTGATTTAACGAAAGGTTATGTTCGACCCCGATCGAACAAACACTTACAGGCCCTCGACCGCGATCTAACGAAAGGCTATGTTCGACTAAGCTCGAACAAACACCTATCGGCCTCCGGCCACATCTCAATAAAGCAACATACACGACCTATAAATATTCGGCTCCAAGGCCACGACCAGCTAAAAGACAACAACAAAAAGAAGGAAAAAAGAGAAACGGGCAAACAATAGAAGAGAAAATCATACAACTTTAGAAAACCAACCACAGGAAGAGAATAAGTGCAAGGAACAACTTTGATATTTAATACTTAAAATGTTTACAAAGGCTCGTGAAGACGCCGACAAAAATACACAAAAAAGTCAAAAGAAAACTACTGGTTGCCTCCATCACGACCTTCAGTGCCCTCGCCAACTTGGTCCTCAATGGCGTCGCCACTCTGACCACCAATACCCTCGCCATCTCGATCCCCCTCGTCATCACCTTCGCCCTCAGGATAAGTGGTATCGTACCAGGCGTTCTCCTCAAGCTGGTCTACACCCTCGCCCCTTCCTCCTCATCAGCCTCAGGCGTAGCGGTATCATACCCACAAGCGACTCGAGCTTCACGAGCCTTAACACGAACATCTTCGAGGGTAGCCTTAGAAATGGATCCCGCCGCATGCAAATCTCGAAAGACATCTAATTAGGCCTCGACATGAAGCCATTCCTCATAAAACTCCCGAGGAATATTGGGAAAATATGAAGTACGGGAAGAGGACGACTATACGAGTAATTGGACCTTCTCGGACTCCAAAGCGACCACTCGATCATGAAGAACGGAGTTATCTCTCTCCAGCTCTCTGATCCCCTCCTCGAGTCAATCTTCCTTAGCTCTCGCCGTTGATTAATCGTTCTCTCGCTCGGCTCGGAGAGTCCTATTCACCAACTCGAGCATCTCTGTCTTTCTCCGAGCATACAAATGAGAGGACTCCGCCTTTTCAAGCTACTTTTGCTTCTCGGCGATCTCAATATTGAGGGCCTCCAGTTGAAGTCGACAATCTTCCAACTGCCCCCACAACTAAACCACTTGAGCTTGAAGGTCATTGCATTGGGCCTCCACTCCCCTGATGACCTCAAACTCCTCTTCCTTACTCCTTAACGTCCCCTAGAGGACGCTATATTTCTCGATAGCCTTCACTAACTCATCATCTTTCTTCTTCAACGCATTTCTAAGAGCCTGCATATCGCCGCTTTCGCAAAATCTCCTGCGGAGATCTCGATACTTTCCCATAGTACTCAGAATACTTGTTTTTGAATTTCACAAAGATCTCGTTACTCTTCTTCTCCCTCCGGGCGCTCTCGATCTCCAAAATCACCGTCTGCAATCATAAAAAGGAAATAGAAGAAAGAAGTCAAAACCAAAGATGTCCTAAAAATATATAAAAAAAAGAGAGAAGAGGTCGAAGCACAAACACTCACCCTAAGAGCAAGGCCAGCAATGCTCCTCGACAAAGCACCATTATTTATTTCTTTAAGGGTCTTACCCTCTATCTCGGAATAGAGAGGGTCGAGGGCAGGGACTACGCCCTTGGTATTCTTCAACAGATCACGATCCATGGGGATCGCGATAGTCCTTGTAGACCCCTCCAACCTTATCTCGAGCTGGGTAAGCCCTTCCTCCATCATCCTCAGGTCGTCCGCATCAACGTCAGAACCTGATTCACCGCCCTCCTCAGTGATGCCTTTGCCCCTCTCATTGGGTGGCAAGGGGGTATCTGCAGCTGTTTGAGAGGTCGATGCCTCCTCTCGCCGTGAAGTGTCAAGGACATCAACAGTCGTCCCTTCAGTCTCCATCACCGCAGAAGGAAGAGACATATCCACATCGGGCCCCACCGACCTTAGAACCTCAGAACTCGGTTCAATATCATCCCCCACAAGAATGGTCGCCGTCTTACGTAACGAATAATTACCTTCCGTCGCATCAAGGCCCGGGTGACTCCGTTACTAACCTCCACGGACCTTCTTTTTCGAGGCAAGATATCTCCATCACTAGGCAAAGTTTCGTCGTCCTCGTCGATGAGAGAATATAGAGGAGAAGCCGAAGTCTCCACGGCCGAAGAGGGAACAAATTCGGACGCAGCAACAGAGGGAACTAGAACAAAGGTATGATCAGCCGCGGTCGAGACAAGGGCAGAAACTAACTCTCCCGGAATGAGGGCGCGAGAGATCTCAGCCTCCTCGTAGACCCCCTGGCCGAAGCTAAGAAAAAAATACGAAAAGGAAAAATCAGCGAAGGAAAAACTTGGCCATTCACGAATCCCTACGATGTGAGGGAGGAGCCGCTCGACCCAGTCGAAAATATGAGCGTTCAAAAGAGGAGGCGAGGTTTTGGCTGCAAAAGAAGAAGGCGAGAAGTCAAAATTCAGGACGACTGGCATAAAATAAATTGGTCACCACGTCCTCGGTCCTGACATAAATGAAGTTGAACCATGATTGACGACTGACATTGTCGTCCATCTTCACCACCAGGCATTTGCCCCCTCGGTGGCGATGGTTCGGCATTGCCCCCTATAAAATCTAGGAACGAACAAATAGATTAAATGTCGCAGTGTAAATTCGACCCTGGCCAGCTCAACAAACTTGGTGAGCATCTTTATGGCTTTGTAAACCTACAGCACGAGCTGAGCAGGGCAAATGCCGTAATGACGACACCGTAGGCGGAAGGAGGAGGACATAATAGCCGACTTGGAATGGGTAGGCGTAGAGGGTGCAATACCCAGGACGGTGGACCTGTACAGTATCCCACCTAGCCGGGATCAACTCGATGTGATTGGGAAATCCGAATTTAGCCTTAAGCTCCGCCAATTCCTTCACCGTCATCACTGACTGAAAGGCTCCAAGTTCATCATTTGGTGATTTGGTGAAATAGGATCTGGAATCAGGGTTGCGTGGGATTATCTCCTCCACCGACGAGAAGGTTCCATCCTCAACGGTGGCAGGAACATTCTCCTCATGGGAGGGGAACACCATTGCCAAGGGAGCAACGCGACTCCCCTCGCTAGCCTGAGAAGGTACGTTAGACATGATTCACTGTAAAGAAGGAGAATAACAAGTAAGAGGGAATGAGGAATGATGTAAGTCGCTGAAACAGAGAGGATTTTGCAATTGCTTAAAGAGAAGGAAGGGTTTGGAAAAAGTTTCAAAATCAACAAGCCTTCCCCTATTTATAAGGTTTAAGAAGCACCAAAATCGAAACGGCGGGTCATGATTAGCACGGAGATCGAAACGACAGAGCCAATCAAGGGTCACACCTAAATCGATGCAATGCGTCGGGAAACGGCGTCATTATGACGCATGATGTCATGACGTCACTGCTTCTCTTGGATCAGATGGCTCCAACAAACTTATCGGGTAATTCAAGAAATTCAAAATACGCGGACCTCAGAAGGCCACGTAGCCCCGTCTCCACGACCTCGACCTTGGCCTACTCACTAGAATTGTATCATGAACGACATTGTCCGCTCACCGACCTCATCCGCGGGAACGGCCTCAATAAGCGGAGGGACTAACTGCATGGGTCAAAATCCATCTTTAGTCATTTTTGCCAACTAAATTTGTTTCAAGTTTTACATAACAAGATATAATTTAGGAGTACTTAATTTACAAATCTACCCTTACTGCTCCCAGAAGTGAAATGTTAATTAAAAGAAAAACAAAGACTAGTTTAGACAAATATTCTTTTGATTAAGGCTGTTAAATACCTGTCTCTCCTGTTAAAGCCTTCTCTTCATCGTTCAAGAATCTAGCATGACCAAAATCTGCAATCCTAACATGCAAAGAATCATCCAAGAAAATGTTGCTTGGTTTTAGATCGCGATGAATCACCATTGGTTTATGCTCATGAAGATATTGCATGGCTTGAGCAATTTCTATTGCTTTATTAAGTCTCTCTTTAAAAAGGGGAAGTGGAATAGCTCTTTGTTTTCTTCTTTTTCCAGGACCATGTAGCCAATCTTTAAGGGTAATGTCTAATAACTCAGTTACTATCCAACCATGGTCTGGTGGATCAAGACATGCCCCCATCAGCTGCAGCACAAAACGGTGTCGCTGCCTCGATAATGTCTCGACCTCTTGGGCAAAGAAGCTGACTCCATTTTCATTGCAGAGGAAGAACTCAGGGAATACGCATTTCACTGCAACTTCAAATCCTCTCCATCTTCCTCTGTATATATGTGCTGTGCTTCCTTGAGCCAATACTTCTTGCAGTTCAATCTGTTTCCAATGAACTATTAATACCGTCGCTTGAAATGGTGATTGCAAGAAAAATAAATATGTATTTCACGACGCCAGGAGGCTCAAGACATATAAACAACCTCTTTCAAATGCAAGTTAAGACTGCATACAAGATATCCCGTTAAGACTTACTACTATAGCAAAATTTTAGTGCACTAGGCTTTTCCCCATATCTATATGTATTGGAAAAACAAAATAGAAGCGTAAACAAGCTTCCACTCTTAGGGCGTGTTTGGTATGATCAAAGTCATTTTCCAGGAAAATTATTTTCATGAAAATTTTGTTGGTGAGTGAAAATGTTTTTTATAAAAAATATTTATTAATGACTAAGATAAAAATAAAAGAAAACTGAAAAGTATTTTGATGATACTATTTAGTACTAGAGATTAATAATAATAATAATACCTAAGTTTTAGTTGAAACAAGTAATTAATATGATGACAAAAATTAAGATAGTTGTAAGGAAAATGCCTTCAGCCCATTAGTGAGGGAAGACATTTTCGTCTTCCTAATAAAAAATATTTTCCATGAAAAAAAACTTTCCCTCGTACCAAACACACAAAAAAATGACTTTTCATGGAAAACATATTCTTGAAAAGCATTTTTTTCTATTAAAAAGATCCTTAAAGAGAAAATAGGAAAAAGATAAAAAAGTAATGTACCTCATGGGGTTCAATATACCAGCCATTAAACTTTGCTTGTTGAATGAGATCTGTGATATCAGAGTGGGGTTGCTGTTGGGGTGGTGTTTGGGGACTGGCAGTGGCTTTGATAATTGCCGAGGGAGGAGTAGTGCATTCTTGTTGTTTTTCTTTGTTGTTTTTGATGATTAAATCAAGAAAGCCATTGTCTTGTGCCACCTGAAGACAATACCTCAAATAATTTTGTGTCCTTTCAAGTCTCATCTTGTACATGGTCTTCATTTCTTTCTGCTTCTGTAATTCCTTTTCGGTTTCTTCAGTCTTTTTCTAGTATAAACCGTTCACTCATTAGCAGAGCCAAATTCAGGATTAAAATTACTGGTTTCAGCTTTTAAGATTTTTAGCATTACAACTCATTGTATTGATAAATTATGAGTTCAAATCTAATATTTAATAAAATTTTAGTAGGTTTTTATATATCAATTCATATTCCGAGTCGAAAGTTATGATTTAGTTTAACCCGTAGCCAAAAGGCTATATTCGCCCCCGCACTAATAATAATTTTGGTAACCAAATAGTGGCATAAAAGCCGCGTACTTAATTGTGTAAGGCTTTCTCAATTTCGTTTTGGTTTAGCTGATTATTTCTGACAACTTGCATGTTCACATCTTTGGTAAATTAAAGCTGAAATTGCAGTACTAGTCCATAAATCGAAATCATGTTTCACTTTACAGGATAATAGTTGAAGAAGAACTAACTCATGCACGTACATTGTACCATATATTGCTATATATGGTCCAAAAACGTTTTATACTGTTAGTATATATAACTTAAATTTATCCATAATACCTGCGGAAGGTGATGATATGGTGGTGCTTGTGCAAGTTTATTATTGCGTGAAACTTTAGGCCCCAAAATTAAACAGTCACCTAGGCCTTTACACCATCCGCCCACGTTCGACTTGACCAGAGCACCACCACTTGTGGCGGAGCTCTGAGTGGCGGGCGAACTCTTGGCTACCATCGGACTACATGGGCTGCCGTTGCCTCTCTTTTTCTGAGTCTTGTCGGAAATACTACTGTTCATATTGGATAACATGCGAATATAATACAATGTTTTTCTTAAGTATTTCAGGTTATTTAGTCTAGTTGCCTGAAATATAAAGCAGTCTTAATTAGTTAAATGAGCCAATAAATTTAATGGAGGATGAAGACAGAATGAGGGCGGACCTTGTGATGAGCCCATATTTTCATAGTAACTTATACTATATATTAAGTTTGTAAATATGAAAATTTGGTTTTAAAAAAGATTAAAAAATCAATATTAGAATTCATTCTAAAGCTACATGCAGTATTTATCATACTACGAGTCAGCTATTATTAATTTTGTGACGAACTATTTAAAAGGAATAATTTTACATAGGCATATCCGAAATGAGTTTGTCACCGATGGTAAAGCAGCGAAAGTGAGGATGTTATAGTGATAGCAAATGCTTTAAATTTTTTATTCTTTTTACATTAATAACCGATTTAAAGCTTATAATTTTTTTGATCTTTCTACGGACTTATTCGTATGTACCTTGGTAGTAATTTTCCCTTGTACGATATTCTCGAGGATTTTCATATATGAACAGAATGTTAGATGAAACCTATAGAAAAACAACTATATTCTGGAGGCTTCCTCGAAAAAATAAGACTAGAGACAAAATGCAGCAAAACTAATTGAATTATATTCTGTTGATCAATTTTGGCCATCTTATCATTTGTGAAACTGTATCTAATTTACTGACATTTAGTTCTATGAAAATGAATCATTTTGTAATGTTTAATGAAATTGAATGAGTAGAATACACCTCCGTCGTATGATAACATTCTATATTTAATTTTTGTCATGCAACAGTGGAAGAATATAGATATTGACACCACAACATGAAGTGTGAGCAGAGAGGTGAAACTTGGGGGTAAAACTTTAATGGGACGCCCAGTTTGCACCCCGCTATTTAACCTATACCCTATTTTGTCAAAATATTTAGGAAAAATGGCCAAATATACCTCACTATTTTCAGATATTGTCTACATTTAACCTCCGTTGTACTATCGTGTCAGATTTACCCCTACCGTTAGACTATCGGGCCAAATTTACCCCTACAATTAACAAACTTTAAAAAAATTACCCCTCAGTGGTGACCCAAAATCTCCCAAATCATTTTAATTAAGCTACTGATTCTTCTTTTTGATCCACTATTTTCAAAATAATTAAAATTTACCTACTTTCTGAATTGGAGAAAAAAAAGGATTAGATAATACAACTGTTAATAAATAAGGTATAGTAAATTAAAAATTCTTAATTAGGTAGCTTTCACTACTAGAAATCCGCTAAACACCGATCAAAGTTGGTCGGTTATGGCCAATTACTGACCAAAACGCGATCATTTATGTGTGGACGGTATTTTAACAGTCGAAAAGGCATACCGACCAAAGTTGGTCGGAAATTACCTACCAACGTTGGTCGGTATGCTTTAAACGACCATCTGATACTGTAAATGGTTTACCGACCAAAACTGGTCGGAAATATATTTTATTAATTTAATTTTACCGATCAAAGTTGATCGGTGTATTAAATTTGTAATTTTTATTATTGACCAACTTTGGTCGGTAAATGAAAATATATTTTTTTTATAAATTATTAAAATTAAAAAAAGTGACCAACTTTGGTCGGTATTGAAAAAATATATATTTTTTTAAATAATTAAATTTAAAAATTACAGTGCAGGCAAAATACCGATCAAAGTTGGTCGGTAATGTTGAATTCTGAGAATTCATTATTCATTAACCGACCAACGTTGGTCGGTAATATGCAATTAATTTTTTTATTATTATTTATCGACCAAAGTTGGTCGGTTTTCTAGGTTTGATTTTGGCATAAAATACCTGTTTTGGTAGCTACACCACCTGCCAGCATACCAATAACCCCAATTCACCTCATAAAACCCCTAATTCACCCCAAATCTATCCACATATCCAACAACAACAACCACAACAACAACACAACAACAACAACTAAATATCCAACAACAACAACCAAACATCCAATAAATACTTTAAAACTAACAAATTAAAGTCCAATTAAACATAACAATCCAAAACCAAGTTAAAACTAATTACAACAAGTTCAAAATTATTTAATCTAATTCAAAACTGGTTCTATTTGTCTAGTTCAAAGTACATAAAAGTATTGGTCAAGGGGTGTTTTCTACAATATCATCATCACCGTCTGATGAACTTTAATCTACAAGACGGTATAGAGGAACGATCACGAGCAGGACGAGAGGAACGATCACGTGGAGGTCGACCCTTTAGCGATGACTCACGAGACCGGGCCAACGGAAAAGCTCCAATAGATAGGAGTGTTCTGATATGAGCTTGCATGCCAAAGAATTGAGCATCTCTAAGCCTTTCTCTTTCCTTGGCCGCTTCTAGCTCGGATGTGAGCGTTGTCACTGTCTACCACATAGCCAAGAGGCTCTCCCGATTAAGTTACTCACCTTGCGAGGAAGTCCCTATTCCTTGCATTCCACACCTATAACGATGGAATTGTTCAGTAGGAAGCCCGTATACCTTCCCCCATTTTGGACTGCCAATAGATTCCAACCATATTCTTTCAGCATCCTCGTCCGAAGGTTGGCTTGGCTCGCCCAATTCACCAGATGGATGACTACGAATGAATTCCTCCACGTTACTTTGGTAGCGACCCTATATTATTTTAAATTAAATTAGTATTTCAAAATTCTTATAAAAGTAAATTATAACACTTAAAGAAAATTAAAAGCTTACATATGCAGTCTCTGTCCGGTCCTCGACCCACCTATCTTCATCCCCCTCTTTCTTTTTCTTTACAATATGTGTCTCCTTGAATAACTCACCATGGCTTATTGAACGCCCATACTTCTTTTCTTAAAATAAATTAATTTAGTTAATAAACAGAATAGATATACTTAGAAAGGTAAAATAATTGAAGCAATTACCAATCTTCTTTTTATTGTCCCTAGGATGATCGCACCTCCAATGTGCAAGGAGCCTCCCTTCTCGGATGCGCGATTTTTCTTTCCTTTTTCACTCCTCTCTAAGAAATCCGCGGTAAGCCATTGCCTTGCAAATCATTCCATAAATTCTCAAGTAACCAGCCAAGCCTCTTGTTCTTCTTTCTAGCATCCGAGAAATAATCCGCCAATCTCTTGTGACTTTGTGATGAAAATTTGCAGTCACTTTCGCGCTATAGCGGTCTTCCCATACACACTTGCTATGTATTTCAAAAGTTAAATATTAGATGGAAACATCATAAATATAAATTATTAAACTGCTTAAAAGAATATTTATACCTTAAATTGATTGAAAATTTACTCCTTCACCGAGAATGGGAAATCAATCCAAGTCACATAAGGGCCATCATAAAGCTTTCTGATGGCATTGGTGATTATCTTCGTAATCTTATCTGCAATTTAAAAATAAAGACACATTAATATCTTAGTAAAAACGTTACAAAATAATAGACGCAAAAATAACAAATAACTCTTACCCATCACCCTTAGGGACTATGATGATCCTGCCATATCGATCATAATACATTACCTCTTCATCATCATCCTCGGTATGTGTATCAGAGGCATGTGTAGCCTATGTAGGGGGCTCAGAGCTACTGTCTCGCAGGCCAAGGCTTGAAATAGATAGAGTCAATGATGAAGATGATTCCAATCCATATGACTGCGACATAGCTGGATGCGACCCAAGTGGCTGTGATATTGATGGATGTGACCGAGTGGTTGTGACATGGATGGATGCGATCCATGTGGCTGTGATGTGTAGGGATGTGATCCACGTGGATGTGATGCAGATGGCTACGATGCAGATGGTTGTGATCCACGTGGCTGTGAGGCAGCTGGACTGTATGTCAGACGTATAGTCCTATGGCCCTGTGATGGAAGACCTGGTATCTAGATGAAGGTTTAGGGCTCGTGATGTTGTGGTAGCTCAGTATAGCCGTGTGGTGGAGGATAAGACATAGGCATCTCTGAAGAGGGTGGAAAAGATGGAGTATTATTATCTACCCTCCTCTTTCCCTTCCTAGCCTTTTCTCGACCCCGAGAACTAGTAGGGTCATTGTTACCTTGACCCTTGCCTGCCATCTGCATAACATAATACATATTTAGATTGAAACATATAAGAAACTAGCTATAAACGAGAGTGCTTTAAAAACCTAAATTTTTAATCCTCATCGACGTATTGTTCCTCGTCCGAGAATTCTTCGTCCTCACTTGTTTGAGCTTCATGAGTTAATTCTTCATCCTCATTTTCTATAATTGTTACTTCATTTATATCAACTTCTTCCAATATGCTTTCAGGATGTTCCAAATCATTTTCTAACTGACCGTTCACTATTTGGTGAACACTGAGATTTCGTTTTGATATGCAACATCTAACACATTCTCGACTTCCACCCTACCTACATGCTTATTTTTTATTACAACCCACCAATCACACTTATTCCGCCACAATGGATAAGGAGCATAATATACTTGCCTAACGTTATGTCCAATTATGAAAGGATCATAGCGATCATACTCCCCCGTATGATTAACCTCAATTATGTTGTATTGGTGGTGTACTCTTGTACCTCTTATTGGATTTGGGTCAAACCACTTGCATCTAAAGAGTATCAATTTCTTATATGGTCAACCTGTATATTCTAGTTGTAATATTTCTTTGACCACACCATAATAATCAATATCTTCAACTTGATTGCCATCACCACCTTGAACCCACACTCCGCTGTTGTTGCTATTGTTATTTTTAGAACAATCCTCTATATGAAACTTATAACCATTCACTACGTTCTTAGACATTGTNGTACAACTTCGGGACAATTTAGCAACACATGAAGTGTAGCTGACTTGTACTCCATATCACTCAAACTTCTCTTTCTAACATCCTTAGAACATCGGCCTGGTTGATTGAATATGGACATTG